TCTTGCAAAGTGGGCAAATGTACGTTCAGTTCTGTATCTCATTGTCTTCGATCCATTGCCGTTCAGAAATTGTAATGCCGAAGTTCGTAGCATGTTTCTGCTGCAAATGTTGGCACTGTAATGTGTTCTGTATATCATAATTTTACAACTTTTCAGCATGTTCATATTCTCCTCTTGACACATTAAAACTGATTATAATGAGCATAAATTACTGTAATATTGATTATAATAAGTTTTTATCAGTCTTCGTAAACTTAGTATTAAAATACATATTCCTGTATAAACTTTTTTTTGTGAAAATGAGTTTTAAGTAGACAGATGGGCGACTAATGCTACAAAAATCTTGTATTCTTTTGTTTTGTGTTAGTAATGTTTTTTTTCTTTCTAGGGTCAGACTGGATTTCCGTGGATTGACGCCATAATGACGCAACTTCGAGAAGAAGGGTGGATCCATCACTTGGCACGGCATGCCGTTGCATGTTTTCTTACACGTGGAGACCTCTGGATCTCTTGGGAAGAAGGCATGAAGGTAATATAATATTCATGGCTGTGAGGACTCCCTGGCGAGTCTACAGGGTGCCAAAACCCAAACATCATCTTCATCAATAATGAATGATTGTTTAAACCATGGCACTTTTCTTAAAAAATATGACAGTTAATGTTTTGTCGTTAATATTAGTTTATTTGAATGTTGGACAGGTTTTTGAAGAGCTTCTGCTAGATGCTGATTGGTCGGTTAACGCTGGCATGTGGATGTGGCTGTCATGTTCATCCTTTTTCCAGCAGTTCTTTCACTGCTATTGTCCAGTACGCTTTGGACGCAAGGCTGACCCTAATGGAGATTACATTCGGTAAGATTTTACGGTTATTGTAACTGTTCCACACTTTTTAGGCAAGTTAACACATTTATGCTAGGAATCATAATAATATGTTGTACATAAACATGTCCCACTGCCCAAAACTTTGTTGTTCTTTACATATCAATACACCCAATGAATAGTGTGACTATTAGTTCTATTGCATTAGAAATACCTTGGAGACGCTTGTGCTTCTTGTTTCTGTCAACAGATGGTGTTGGACTGTAAGAAACGTGATTCTGAAATTGCATATGCATTACAATTTTAAGTTTTCTTCATATACAGTACAGGGTTTCATTCCTGGAACAGACCTCTCTTTCATTTCTTCTAGTTAATACTTTCATTCAGAGATGGTGCCACAGGGTAACTTTCACTCTGAGCGATACAGATTTGAACTGCGGTCATGCCTCTGGCCAAATGAGCTGTTCCTATTCTCGGCCGTCTGCTTAATGACTACGTGTTTACGTGTTTGTAGAAAGTATCTGCCAGTCCTGAAAAACTTTCCGACACGTTATATCCATGAACCATGGAACGCACCTGAAGCTGTCCAGAAGGCAGCAAAATGTATCATTGGGAAGGAATATTCCCTTCCTATGGTGAACCACGCGGTTGCCAGTAGAACCAACATTGAACGTATGAAGCAGGTTTATCAGCAACTCAGCAAATACAGAGGGCCTGGTAGGTTAATGTTAAAAAATAACATTAATTTTTTTTCAGACTATGGCCATTTTTAAGCTAGTCATATGTACTCTGTTGCTTCTGTAAAATAAAATTCTAAATAAATTTGAAGGTCTATAAATATCCCTATTTAAGGTTTCTTTGGAATTTAATTAGAGACATGTTTTATTTCTCGTTCTAATCGAACGACTTGGCCATTTTTATTGGAGCAGACATGGGATCCCACTTGTGAAACGTGAATCTTATCTAAAATTAATTCGAATAGAGTCACAAGCAATATCACTGTAATCCCCTTTTTTCACTATCTATGCAACTGGGGGAATACGGTTACAGTAACCTTAAATTACATTGCAACCATACTCTGATAATCTTTATATTTTAGGTCTCTTACAGTTATATTAAAGTGCTAATGTGTCTGTCTTTCATTCCGCCAGGTCTGTTAGCGACTGTCCCTACAAGCCAGTCGCAGTCATGCAACACTTTGAACCATCTGTCAGTACAAAAAAGTCTCAAGACATCTCCACCATCAGAAACTAAATGGGAGACATCACCCAGTGATGAGATTATTGGTCATTCTCAAGTAATCTGTGATGAAGAGTTGAAGAATGGCATACAAATCCATCGCTACAAATCACACAGAAGGGATGAGTCCGAGTGACAGCTTACGTTTAGAGACAGCTGAGTCTCCACTGCCGCCTGCAAAACCTGGGGCAAATGTCTGGTATCAGTTTGCATTTTTCTGCAGACAGAAACAATGTTAGAAGGAGAAGAAGAAGATGAATTCTATATTGTATTGTATTGTAGATGTGCAATTTTTCTTTACACTATGATGTTGGAAGCGGTCTGTCTCAACTGCAACCGAGACAAATCAAAAGATGGTCATTTTTTTACTCACGTGAGCATAAAATAAAAGTTGTTTGCCGTACAATTTCTTCACATCTTCACTTCTACTCTGAGCATGGAAGTGATAGGTTCCTGCCAAACATTTATAATCACCTACCCTACACAGCATCATAAACCAGAAAATCACAAAGTGAATTCTCACTATAGGTAAAACCTTCAATCTAATATAAAATATAAATTAATTAATTATTTAATTTTAGACAGTAAATCAGACACGAGTATAAAAGATTAAATTCTTATGCGGATCGTGTTTCAACACGGGAATTATGATTTCCGAATTTTGAAATCTACGTATGTGAATGGTTAAATAATATGTGAGGAGAGTTTCAAAAAAAAATAATATTTGAAGAATAGAAAATAAGTATATTCTTTTAAAACTTGCTGACTGAAATATTTTTATTAACAAATTCCATACTGCATACCATCACGTTGTTACTACAGGCTTTTACTTTACATTACACTTAAGCTCTACTCAGAATTCAACCTTGTTTGCAGTCTGAAGAAACTCACACAATGTTCAAAATGTGTTGTAATTTCTTACTTACTTGTCTGCAGTGTTTTCAGCACCGTAACAGCATGGTCTAACCTAGCTAACGTACTTGCCCGTCCAAGTATCTCCATCATCTCTGCAACACCAGGACCTTCCTGCAAGCAAAAAAAAATGAACGGCTTAAATAGCACAACATTTCTTGTGAATTTAGAGTAGCATGTTACAGAATGGAATTTTAAATGTTATTCATAAGTATTAGTGGCAGTAGTAGTAGTATTTTCTTCTTTTGAGGAGCTTATTACTTAAATATATATTTCGTCTGTGTTAAATTTGTCGCACATAACTGTCAAATATTCAGCACTCAGATTGTAACCAAGGACTTCCTCAAAAACCATTTGATCATGACATTCAGTGGATTGAACTAGATCAATATTGTGTTGTTAGTTAATCTTGCATCCTGACAGAATATTGTACCTGTAAGCCACTGACAGCAGAACGTAGAAGCTTCATCAATTTACTAAATGGCAGCTGTTTTTCTGAAGAAAAATCTTTTAGCAGTTTTTTTAGATGATCTCTGTGAAATTCAGTTTCAAGCAACTTTGAAAGATACAGCTTCATGTCTTCTAACACACCTGTCAAAAGAGACATCTGTTCTTATTAATACAATATTATTTAATTAACTGAAATTACTAGAGCTGTAGATCTAGAAATTGACATAAAAACACAGGAAAAAAATCCAGTGGTGTTATGTCTGGTGAACGCGGAGGCCAAGGCATTGGACCGTCTCTGCCGATCCATCTTCCTGGAAATGTCCTGTCTAGGTACGCTCGTACCTGCAGACCCCCAATGAGGTGGAGCACCATCTTCCAGAGTTTCACTGTAATCTGCCGCAAACCGCATGTGGCTAGCTCAATTTGTTTGCGCGCCACAATTATTCAAAACCCCGAAGGGACTTTGTGGACACACTGTATAACAGTAACATATTTCCTACAGAAGGGATACACACTAAACAAAAGTTCCTGAAAGACATTGTGAAACGAAGTGTGGAATGCTACATCACACCAAGCCATACTGCCATAAGATTCATACCTATGTTGTTAGCTTCACTCGCCACAATTTCTAGAGCATGCTGTGAGGGAATAATCCACAAGAAGGCAAGATTGCTATTCACAAGGTCAGTCAGCCTTGTAATGCGGTCTTCACCCCACACTAATACAGACATGATATGGTCATCTTGTAGCTGTAATTTCTGGTTTTCTAACCTATAACCACATAAAATCATAGAATCACTGATTGTTCGGTTATTCAATAATGCTGTATTAGCTGCAGAGGTTTTTTTAGTGTCAAATGAAATGCAAGAATGATTAATGGTCAGTTAAGAAACATTGGATAAAATGCAGTCTCAGTTCTTGGGTGAAAAGCCGGAGAATACATACTCGGAGCGGTTCCGGAAACGTTCTGTTTTGAATGGCGGACAATGGTCAGAGTCCAGAAATCCAGTAATACTAAACCTTCATGGTTATAAAACCGCGACACAATACTATTGAGAAAAAAAACTTGTAAAAATGTGCTACAATCACTTGCTTAATGTTGTGGCTATAGTTGATGATCAATGGTCAAAAGTTATCACTTACGAAAACAGAGTTGGCTGAAAGTAATGCTATATAAATTATTTAATCGCACATGTATACTGTATTCTCCATTTTGGAAATTAAACCCTAGCTGTCAAGTATGTAGCCAGTCACTTTTATGTCTCAGCTATCATACTCTTAAAAAGAGGAATAATGAGAAATAACTGAAAAATTAAATAAAATTAATGAAAATGTACTAGATGAAGCAGTATACTTATTGATTCTGGAGCTACAGTCAGAGTCTACTGCCAAACATACTCCCATTCCTGTATCAACTGCGTCACTTACGGCTACTTCTGCATTTTTACCTGTCCTTAAATGTTCTTGAAACCAACTCTTTAACTTCTTGAACCAGCACTGCTGATTCCTCTTTATCTGCAAGTCTTCTTCGAAGTTCCAAACCATTAAACTCTGGAAGCTTTTCTGGTGTTAAACGACAAGAACTGGGTTTCACGTGGCTTATGTCAAACTGTAACGCACAAAATGAAAATTTCACAGCTAGCATCACACCTGGCTGAACCAGTGGGCCCAATTGATAGATATTCTGTTCCCCATTTTTATCCGATGATGAAAGCAGAATCCAGTTTTCAAAACATTGTAACTTTAAAATTTTATAGTTTTATATGATAGATAAATTCCAAAAGAGGGAATTTAATGCATGTCAAATTCATTATAATTTGGGGTAATCAGCTCCATATAATAAGTAAACAAACAATTAATATAAAAAGTATTTCTAAGCTCATAATTCAGATGAAATCACCTCAGCTACTGACTTGTTCAATTAATTCCTGCAGTGTGTATATTCTAGATTTTGTTCTAGCCACATCCTTAGTAAAACCTCCACCAGCATCAATGATGAAGTTGAGCAGGGCTTCAGGAAAAATGCCCTCCCTGCGGTAGTTGTCTACCGTGATGTCCCCTTGCCGTTTGGATAGTTTTGAACCATCTGTATTTAAAATAAGAGGGAGATGGGCATAAACTGGAGGCTGCCACCCAAATGCTCTGTAAAACAGCAAATGTTTCATTCTAACCAAAACAGTTTCTTAATCAAATTATACAGATTATAATTTCCAACAGTCTACCCATCTAACATCTTCTGAGGGCACAGAACATCAAATCCTACTTAAAAACTGTATATGATTCATATTTTATGTTCTGTAATGATATCAAAACTTTGGAAAGCAAAATAGCAAATTTTCAGCGATCCAGGGAAGAAATCTCGTTACTTTTGGATCTGAATTATCTACATGAACATATCTGAGAATTTATATTTCCTATGAACAGTTACATACCTGTACAATAATATATGCTTAGTTGTTGAGATCTGCCATTCTACGCCACGTAACACATGAGAAATTTTCATGAAGTGGTCATCAACAACATTTGCAAAGTGATATGTTGGATATCCATCTGATTTAATGATGACAGGGTCACCTTCATTTAGTGCTATATTGTAACTTATTTTACCATATACAAGGTCTTCAAAAGATTCTTCATTTGACACGAGCTGAAAATATTTAATTGTACTATATTAGATTTAAATACATCAATTATTGATATGGCCAAGTGGTGAGCACACCTGCTTTGTATTTGAGCAGTTGTAGGTTGGAATCTGTACTCGGTACTGTACCTTGAAACGAATGCAATAATTATCCCCTCTTGCAAGTCGTTTTTTGACTTCTGCTTCTGGGAGATGACGACACCTGTTATCATAACGGGGGACTTGTCTAGCTTTGATAGCTTCACGTCTCAGTAAATCCAAACGACGGTCAGTACAGAAGCAATAATATGCTGCACCTGCTTCTAGTATACATTTGACTTGATCCCTGCAGAGAAATAGTTCACATTAAACTGCTGCACTTTCATGACAATAAAATAATAACAGTGCTACAAAACTAAATCTGTCACTCATACATAATATAAATTGAAGTAAATAATGTAAACTGAGCTATAAATGTTTCCAACAACAAACTGACCTATCAATAACAATTGAGGTTGAAAGTAAGGTTACCATGAATTTCATCTATGTATCACACTGAATATTTGGCTCTCACAACTACAAACCTGTACAGGGGCAAGCGTCCTGACTGCTCATAAGGTCCATAAGGTCCACCTATGGATGGACTTTCATCTGGTACAATTCCAGCCCATTGTAAATCATTCTCTAATGTACGCACTGCATCAGGAACAATTCTGCTTTGATCTGTATCTTCTATCCGTAATATAAATTTTCCACCACGTGACTTTGCAAATATATAATTGTAGAACGCGGTTCTTAATCCCCCTAGATGTAAATGACCTGAAATACGAAAATGTTATATACTTAAAAGTAATGTATCTTCCTGACGCAGAAGAGAACTACAGTATAGTAATGCTTATAAAGCACTACCTGTGGGACTTGGTGCAAACCTAACTCGCACTTCTTGAATTCTTTGGGCTGTTGTCATAAGCTGTCTTCCACAAATTATAGTCGAAGGTATCCAACGAAAAATATTTTTCCGAACCATTCTTAACCTTACATTCTACGTAATATAAGTGTACATAACCTAATTTCACGTATACTGGGCAGTAAATTAACACTTATTTCCAGACAAACTATTAAACTGCAATAACACTTATTTAACTGGCAGTGGTTGTAAACCTAACTCATAATGCTTATACGTGTAAACCGGGTAATTTCTTAACCTGAGGCTATAATTAAAAGTAGATATACATATCCCCTCATTACGTGTTGATACACTGTGGTTGTACATAAAACGTGAATAAACATCATTCGAAACGTAAACCACCGCTTCCTAAACATACGCGGTTCCTTTCGTGCTGTACAATTGACGTAGTGTATGTTTATAAGGGCATTTGAAGTTTCGTAGTTAATTTGCTGTTAGTAATAGTTCCGATCACTAATAAAATTGAGAACAGAAACTTGACTGTTCATTACAACTGGTCTAAGGCAAGATTCAAAACAAATATAAATTTAATGCTGCCTGTAGTTTCTTGGTATTTGTCAGCATATCCGCCAGGTGACGAAGAGTCAGAAAGAAACTAAAACGTTACTTCAAACGCTTCCGTTCATTCATTTTGGTATTTTGGAATACCTGAAACATGCGCACTTTCATGTCAAGGGCAGTGTGAAGTGTTTTGGTCTTGTTGACCGTAAAATTTACAAAAATGGTAGGATTAGCTATGATAACAACAATTATGTAGCAACTAGGTTGGAACTCTTGATATTTTAACCAGTTTCATAGTTTTTAACAGTCATGTGCACTGATTTGTTTCTTCTCTTGCAGCATAAACTGAAGTCTTCACAGAGAGACAAGGTCAAGAAATTTATAGCATTTACCCAGACGGGAGAAAATACTGCTATATTTTGTCTGTCTCAGAACGACTGGAAATTAGATTTGGCTTCAGATAATTATTTTCAGAATCCTGATTTATACTACAGAGAACCAAAGATTTCAGTTGATAAGAAGAAATTGGAGCAGCTTTTTGCAAGATATAGAGGTTCAGTAATTAAAATCTGTGTTTTAGATTATTTTCTAAGCCCTATATTTGTTCTTGGGTAATATGCCTGAATACAGCAATAGAATATATAAGGTAGAATGGTTTATACAGTACTATACATATCTGTTGACTGTATGTCTTTACCAGTTTGTCCATATGCTTAAAGTTTGCCCTAGAAACTTAAGCTACTACACAGTTCTTAAAAAAAGTAATTTAATTTACTCTCAGCTATAAAATTTTAAAAAATCTTTATATAGGTTATCCTTGCAAAGTCTATAATGAAATCAATTTGGGCAATTCTACAATTCTGTTTGTTTATAGTTACATCAAGGAGGTTACAGTGGGATGGACATGAAGTTTGAATGGGGGTAACAGTAATTGTGCAGAGAAATGTAATGGGGCATGAAGTTTGGATGGGGGTACCAGTAATTGTGCAGAGAAATGTAATGGGTTTGTTAGAAGTTTATATGGATACTTAAAGGGCAGTATGACCAAATTTCTACAGCTGATAACTGCTTACTGACTCACAAAAAAGTGTGGTACATACTTCAGATATTTGGGTTGCAGGATTTTTTCAATATGTGATTTATATGTAATTATTTCTTAACCTGTTACTTTATCCTGTTGTAGATCCTGGTGAACCGGATAAGATAACAGCAGAAGGAATTATGAGGTTTTTAGATGACTTAAGTTTAAGTCCAGAGTCTAAGCTTGTTCTGATCATTGCGTGGAAGTTCAGAGCAGCCACACAATGTGAGTTCACAAGAGATGAATTCATGTTGGGCATGACAGATATAGGGTAAGTGCCAGGTGTCTCTCCCCCATTATCATATATATATATATTTTATTTATTTATACCCCCTACCCAATACATGTTTTGGAAGGATCCACCTGTGATGCTGCTGACACAGTATTCTAAAAGATAGATTGTAATGCTTTTATAAATCCTGTGACCTCTGTTTTATATGTTTTGAATGGCACCATTAAATAACCAAAGAATCAACCAACAACCACGTTGTCATGAAATCATAAAGGGGACAATGGAAATTAAGCTTGTGTAATGTATTTTATATCTGTTTCAGTTGTGATAGTATTGAAAAGTTGAAAGCAAGACTGCCTTCGTTAGAGGTTGAACTGAAGGATCAGTTCAGGTTTAAGGACTTCTACCACTTCACATTTAATTATGCAAAGAATCCGGGTCAGAAAGGACTTGACCTTGAAATGGCAATTGCTTACTGGAACATCGTCCTGCAAGGAAAGTTTCGGTTTTTAGATCTCTGGTGCAAATTTTTGCAGGTAATGTGTGTGTACGTATAAATTTGATAATAGAAGTTCAGCGAATAAGTTATCTACCAGAGTGTGAGATTGATGAGTGATCGCAAACGTGCGCATATTGTTATCTTCAGCTATATTTGTTATTGTATCATTGTTTTGGATTTATCGGAGTGCCGTTCACTGATAAAATTTCTCGTTGAAGAAAGATCATCTCAAGAGATCTATAATTGTATGTTTTACTTTCGTGCAATCCTCGGGTTTTATTTAAATCCGTTGATTTGTTTCAGAAATCAAACCAACTTGTACATTGGTGGACAGACATGATATCCACATTATGCTTTTGTTTTATGCACTTTCTGCAGAGAATGAATTAAAAATTAATTCAAAGTTCTTAAAAACCACCATCAGCACTTGAATGTGAAACAAATCAGCTGTGACAGGAATCAGTAACTGCAAGGTGGATTAGTAGAGAATTACAGGGAATTAAGATGAGGTACATCGTGCTCGTTCTTTGTACGCCATCTCTTTTCCCCACAGGAACATCATAAAAGATCAATTCCAAAGGATACGTGGAATCTGCTGTTGGATTTTGCAATGATGATCAACGATGACATGTCCAACTATGACGAGGAAGGAGCGTGGCCCGTTCTCATCGACGACTTCGTCGAGTACGCGCAACCGATGGTGTCGTCTTCGGCACCTCACAGCACGCAAGTTTAACAGGACACAGTTGATTAGGTGTAATTAAAAAAGAGTTGGAACAAAAAAAAGTTATGCGACCTGTAATCTCTTATTTCATCACCGGACGCGGAACGCGGGATTTAACTATCGTCATCGAAGGAAGAAGACGTCGAGACGGAGAATTATATCACCAAGTGCGGTACTTAAAATGCAAGCATGAACAACTGGTTTATAAGATTATTTTGATTGATTAAACCCCAAGTGCAGTGCAAGTAGGAGACAGAAAGGGTGTTAAACGGCAAATCTCATCTCATACGGCCAGTGTCAGGTGAAAAGATGTTTCTTTGGCACTGTGTGACGGAACAGGTCCTAAGGGCGCTGTAGTTGTGGCTGTCCTGAAAGTGTAGCCAGCATCGCGAGAACTCTCGAACATTTAAAATGTTTTATATATATAATGCGGAGATGGCACGGGGCTCAAGAATGTAACTGGAAAACTTTTTTAATTGAGAAGAAAGAATAAAGACTTTGTAAATAATGTATAAAATAGATTAATTAACTTTTTTCCTTTGTTTTAAAGTGAAATTCGGGTTGCAATGAACGCTACGTAGAATATTTTTTTACGTAGTGAGTGTGATTATCCGTTGTACGTTATTATTTACACAAGGAATATCTGTCCATTAAAACTGCGGTGTGTTTCGAAAGAAACATTTTCGTTCGTGTCCGTTCTAGTTTATATAAATAAAACTTCTTTTTTGTGACGGATACTGTTTGTATAAATTATACTTTTGTAAAGAAAATTGAAAGTGAGTTATGTTTTTCTTTAGTTTCTGTTATGATGCCAATATTCAGTCAGTGACGACCCGCTCTCGTACTTAGATTTTATAAAATGTGGATCACGTGCGAAATTGAAGATTTTCAGACGCAAGTCGTATACTAACGATACTCTTCGTTTACTTTTGTTATTTAAGACAAAATACAAGTTGTAACAAATGGACTGTTAGAATTTTTGAAAAACTTCAGATTGTAAGCAAAATCTGCTAATCAGAATTAGCTTAACGAGTCACCATAAACAAATGATATATCACTTGTGTATTTAAAGAATATTCAATAAAGAATTTTAATAATAATTTTGGGACTTGAACAGACAGGTAATATTTTGAGGTTACGTTTTCATAGTTGGGAGGTTCTGAGGAATACGTCAGCATGGCCTGCAGCCATGCCAAAATGCAAACCGAGTACTACTTACAAAAATACCAAGCACTGATGCATTATGACCGTAAGTAACTGTCCTTTGGACATAAATCATCCGTTTATCTTTTTCCTCTACACTGTAATAAATTTCTTTTGGCTAGCCATGACTTTTATTTCATTAGTGTTTAAAATTATGGTACATAATAGATAATTGAGGTTATGCACTTCTCACAAGAAGCAAGAACAATGCTCTCATTTGTGGTGTCGAATTCTTGAGTTACTCGCCGGCTTCCTGTGAACAAATACGAACATGCTTCAAGTACATTTTTCTCCTAATTATGGTTTTGTAACACATAAATGCCGTTCATAATTGTCGATGTGACGACGTACGGACTTGTAGGTAGACACCATCGTTTCAAAGAAACATACTGTCTCCATCTTCAGGAATTACGTCCACACGGTACCACAACCCAGAATAACATCGACGCCTTATTTATTTCGGTTTATTTTACTAAGCGAATTAATCTTACCTGACAATCAGAATTCCGACCATAAATTGTACGTGCTACTCTGTGACATTCCTTTTGAATATGCTATTGTTGACACCCCATCGGATATTCGATTGTCAGGTGTGACATTCAGTAAGGTCGTATAACATTTAAAATTAGATCTTGTCGTCCTCTGAAAACCCCTCCCTGCAGAAAACGTCCCAGAACATTTTATCAGAATATTCTGGTAATCTTTAAACGTTATCACAAAGCGCATATTTCAGAGCTGTTGGTTTCCTGCTGTATTCTACTGTGAGAAATAAACACGCATCCTCTGACTGGCAGCATTCCATTGTCACAACCATAACGCTAAACACGGTAGTAATCAAGAGGGAGCTAGCTCAGTCGATAAAGCGACTGCTTATGTGTTCGATTCCTAGCAAGTTCGCCACACGTCCACCTAACCTCCTACCCAGCTGGCACCGATAATTATTCCTCGGGGATAATGCGGCTTGAGCAAATACCTGACCACTCACTCCTATCAAGTATGACGTTAAGAATACGTGGAATTTTATTTCCATTCGCCCTGACATCGTGGCGACCAGAAAAAGGAAAAACTTAACCTGTACCTTACTTAAACTTACATGCGTCACATCGTGTTTAAAAAGTTGGTACCCCGTAGACTGATTGCGGGGTAGGAGGAGGGCTGAAAGATGGGGGAGCATAGGAGGTGACTGGAGTTCGAGGAATAATATGGAACGTGGTCGGGTTGGGAAAAGCCAATGGTGAAGGGGGTGGTGGGGGC